AGGCAGACGCTCAACCATCTGAGCCACCCAGGCGCCCCATTGTCCAGCCTATCTGACCCAAGCCTGTGGCAGGAGCTCAAGCCTCATGGAAACAGCAAAGTCTGAGCATTCATTCATGCATTCGCTCCCTTACTCATTCCTTCATCCCAATCATGTGCTGATTAGTTCATACATATAATGGAATGCCCAGCACATGTCAGATGCTGTTCCCTGGGGGTTCAACAGCCAGGACCCCTGCCCTCAGGGAGGTGAGTCTGGTAGGCACTAGAGGATCCAGTTCTTTTTATTTTTTTTAAGATTTTATTTATTTATTTGAGAGAGCGAGCATGAGGGGTGGTGGGGGAGGGCCGAGAGAGAGGGAGAAACAGACTCTCTGCTGAGCGTGGAGTCTGACTTGGACTCGATCCCAGGACCTTGAGACAGACGGTTAGCCGACTGAGCCACCCAGGTGTCCCTAGAGGACCCAGTTTTGTTTTTTTTTTTTTTTAAGATTTTATTTATTTGAGGGAGAGAGAGAGAGTGAGAGAGAGAATAAGCAGGGAGAGCAGCAGAGGGAGAGGGAGAAGCAGGCTTCCCGCCGAGCAGGGAGCTGATGCAGGGCTCGATCCCAGGACGCCAGGATCATGACCTGAGCCGAAGGCAGACGCCTAACGACTGAGCCACCCAGGCATCCCTAGGACCCAGTTCTAATACTGATGTTTACTTTGTCGGAAACTAACATAGCTACTTGGGTTTCTTTTGATTAATAATGGTGTGTAGTATCTTTCTCCACCCCTTTATTTGCAACCTTTCTGAATCTCTACATTTAAATGGGCTTTCTTGTACATAACCTATAGCTGGGCCTCATTTTTTTGTTTGTTTAGATTTATTTATTATTTATTTTGAGAGAGAGAAAGAGAGACAGAGCAGGAGTGGGAGGAGTGGCAAAGGGGACAGAGAGGGAGAGGGAATCCTCAGCAGACTCCCTGCTGAATGGGAAGCCTGACTCAGGGCTTGATCTGAAGACCCTGAAATCATGACCCGAGCTGCAGTCAGACACTTAATGAGTGAGCCACCCAGGGGTGCCTGGACCTCGTTTTTTATCCACTCTGACAATCTATGAACTTAAATCGGTTTATTTCAATCATTCACATTTAAAGTGATTAATATCTTAAAACTTAGGATCTGCTGTTCATAACTGTTCTTTATTGATTATACACGTTCTTGGTTTTCCCCTTTTTATCTGCCTTCTCCGATTTCTATTGAGCATCTACCACTATCATTTCATTTTACTTCCTTTCAAAGCATATCAGTTATACTTCTTTTTAAAAAATGACCTTAGTGGGTGTTATAGAGTATGCAATATACGTTTTATTTATGACCTTATTTTAGAACAATTTTAGGTTTACAGAAAAATTCCAGCAGATAGTACAGAGGAAATATACATTTTTATTTTTATTTTATTTTATTTTTTTAAAGATTTTATTTATTTATTTGAGAGAGAGAGAGAGAGAGAGAAACAGCATGAGAGGGGAGAAGGTCAGAGGGAGAAGCAGGCTCCCCGCTGAGCCGGGAGCCCGATGTGGGACTCGATCCCGGGACTCCGGGATCATGACCTGAGCCGAAGGCAGTCGCCTAACCAACTGAGCCACCCAGGCGCCCGGAAATATACATTTTTAATGAATGCAAGTCCACCTTCAATGAATACTGTTCTGTTCCCTGTGTGGCGCAGGTACCTTATAACGGGGTATTCCCACTTCCTCCCTCCCACCCAGCGGCCCCGCTCTTATGCATTCACCCATCCATATGCTCTCATTATCCGATACATTGAGTTTCTGATCTTTATCATTTTCCTTCTCCATGAAGAACTTCTTTTAACATTTTTTTGTAGGGCAGGTCTGCTGCTGCTGAATTCCCTCAGCTTTTGTTTTTCTGAAAAAGTATTTCTCTTTCACATTGAAGGATGGTTTTGCTGAGTCTTGAATTCTAGGTGGATTTTTTTTTTTTTCTTTTTTCTGCTGCTTCTGTAAACCCTCCACTCTGGGCACTTCTTGCTTGCATGAGCGATGTGCTGTGGTTCTTCTTTGTTCCTCTGCAGCCAAGGTGGTTTTTTTCTCCCCCCTTCTGGCTTCTTTCAAGCTTTTCTTGTCATCGGTTCTGAATATGATACACCTAGGTGTCGATTTGTTTGGTGTTCATCCTGCGTTATATTTTCTTGGATTCCCAGATCAACTGTTTGTTATTTGTCATTAACTTTAGAAAATTTTCAGCCTGGGGCGCCTGGGTGGCTCAGTCGTTAAGTGTCTGCCTTCAGCTCGGGTCATGGTACCAGGGTCCTGGGATCGAGCCCTGCATCAGCTCCCTGCTCGGCGGGAAGCCTGCTTCTCCCTCTCCCACTCCCCCTGCTTGGGTTCCCTCTCTCGCTGTCTCTCTCTCTGTCAAATAAATAAATAAAATGTTTAAAAAATAAAAGAAAGAAAATTTTCAGCCCTTGCTACTTCAAATTTTTCTTCTGCTACATTGTCTCTTTCTTCACTTCCTGGTTTTCCAATCGCACCTGTGTTGGCCGTTTTGAAATGGTCCCATAGATCTTGGATGTTCTGTTCTGTTTGCTTTTTTAACATTTTTTTTCTTCTTTGTATGTTAGGCTGGGAAGTCCCTACTGACGTATCTTCAAGCACACTGATTCTTCCCTTGGCAGGGTCCGGTCTCCTGATGAGCTCGTCAAAGGCGTTCTTCATTTCTGTTTCAGTGTTTTTGATTCCTACCATTTCTTTTCAATTTTTTTCATAAAGTTTTCATCTCTCCGCTTACATTTCCCATCTGTTCCTGCATGCTGTCAACGTTTTCCATTAGAGCCACAACATTAACCATACTTATTTTAAATTCTCTGATGATTCCAGAATCGGTGTCTTACCTGAGCCTGGTTCTGAATGCTTTTTCTCTTCAGATTGTGTCTTCTCTTGTCACTTATCACACTGTGTCATTTTTTCTTGAAAGCCAGACATGTTGCACTGGGTAACAGGCACTGAGGCAAATGGGTTTTTAGTGTGAGGATTTATGTTGATCTGGCTGGGATTGCACTTCGGGCTTATGTTTGCCGTACCCATACCCGTAGGAGCTCTGGGCTTCAAATTCCTCTGCTGGCCCCTGTTGTCTTTGAGATTCCCTGAGATCCTGAGATCCTAAGACCCCCTTAGATCGAGCGTGTGACCACTGTTATTACACGGGAGGCCTGTACGGTGGCCGTACGGAGTCAGGGAGGAGAAATGTTCTATAATCTTACCTCCTTGGGCTGTGACATTCACTAGTGTTTCTTAGTAAGCCTCGAAGTTTAGAGGGGGTTGGAGTTGGGGAAATGCCACCCCCCACGGTGGGTAAGGCTCTGGTACAGCTTTTTTCCCCCCCGGAGAGCAGGCCTTTGATATGGAGAATGCTGTGGATGTAGTTCACAGGGGTAACTTGTCCTCTGGGGAGATGTCTGGAGGTCAAATCACTAACCTGTGGCCTCCTCCTTTTGACTCTGGTCCTCTCCCCAGGAGCTTCTCAGCCTGGCACTAGTCCACACGCAGCCCCCAGCAGTTCCCCAAAATGATCATTTAAGCCATCCTAGCAGTTTATAGCTTCAAGGACTTCTGCTCCAGGTGAGCAGATCTCAGATGAGACTCTGCATTTCCTTGTCTCTCCAGGTCCGGGGAAGGCACTTGGCCCTGAGACCTCTGTTCTCTGATGGGTCTGAGAAAATCATCAATTTTCAGTTTGTTCAGCTTTTTTCTTGGCAGGCCAGAGCCACAACTTGCAGGCTCCTCATGTGTCAGAGCAGAAACAGAGGGACTTGGGTTCTCGGCCACAAGCTTGCGGTGGGAGGCTGGGTGAGCTCTCCACTCTCTTGGGGTCTGTGCTCCCTCTTCTGTATAGCCGGACCCATAACCCAGGAGGGTGATATAGGGGCAGAAGCAGGGGCAGGGGCTGCAGGATGGAGAGCGGGATGCCCACCCAGGAGGTATGCAGGAGTGTTCCCCGAGGCCCAGCAGGCCCAGGCTGTAGGGCGATCTGCTGGCCCAGGAGGGGAGAAAGGGAAGAAGCCTGGGATGGGGAGCTGCCCCACTCTCCCTCCCCAACCCAGGCCTAGGTTTCACTTCTCCTTATGAGTCCCGGGCAGCACCGCCTGCCCCTTACCCTGTCGCATCCCCATTTTTAAGTGTTTCCGTGAGAATTCCCAGCCACTGGCTCCCTCGCGTCCCTCCCTGGCCCAGCCAGAGGCGGGACTGGAACCGCGGAGTCTCCGCACCTCCTGGACGAAATAGCGTGGGGGGGGGGGAGGAAGGATCCGGGAAACCCAGTCGGCACCTGGAGCCCCAGGAGGCCAGGCCACCGCTATTGTATTAAGAAAGGTTCCCGGTCCAGAAGGGAGGGGCCGCTGGAACAGCGGGAACAGAGCTGGCGCCGGGCGTGGAGTTCCGCGCCGCGCCCCTCCTCCTTAAGCCCCGCCGGGGCGTCCCCCGGCCAGGGGTGGCCTCCCCGCAG